GAGGCAGGAGACTCGCTTGAGCCCAGGAGTTGGAGGTTGCTGTGAGCTGTAATGCCGTGGCACGCTACCCAGGGGGAGAGCTTGAGGCTCTGTCTCAAAAAAAAAAAAAAGAAAGGGCTTCCAAGCCAGCGTCAGAATTCAATGTCATTTTTGTAGCTTAGGTTCTTTTAAAAAATGCCACAACAGGGAATACAAACTTTTAGCATATTTTATTGATTTAGGGTGAAACAAGGCAGCATTTGGTCAGTTAAGAAAGGCACCTCATTGCAAATAATACATCACAGTATTGTCAAGTGATCCAGTCACAGGATTTGAGATGGAAAGGACAATCTTTGGATGATAAAGCTTAGGACACTTGCTTGTTTAGTTTAAAAAGTCCCTTCACACATCATGGATGAAAGAAGGCAAGAGTGCAGGATTGTGGGATGTGCTGGGTCGCTGCAGAGTGCTCACCCATGAGAGCAGGTGGATTGGTAAATCAATGGTAAGTCAGAGGAAGGGAGGCAGCCCAGCCTCCCCTGCCCCAGACTTTAGTAAACTTGATTTGTTGAGCCACCCTGCTCCCCATGAATACATTTCATCTCTTTCAAATGTGGAGATGATTTTTTGATCTTACACTATGGAGAAACCAGGGTCAGTAGTCAAACCCTCCCTGTTCAAAGCCATGGACAGAAAGAACAAGAGTTTGATTTCCTGTACTCTTGGTCTGGCAACACATGAGGTTTGGTGATAAAAGCTGAGGTCTCAGGGCACTGTCTTTAAAAAAATATTGTTACCAGTCCAAAGTAAATGAAAACCCAATTCCTTAGAAATAATACTGTACCTCCCTATTTCTACCCATATTCTTTGAGCACAATTTTTTAAAAAAATTAATTTTCCCCTTTACTTACACTTTAAAGTTACCATCCATGTGTACAATAATCTGCCTCACTACAACCACACTGCTGCTCTTCTTAATACTCCTCTTGAGCCCCTCAGCAGCCCTCCCTCTCCATCCTCACCATGACCACCCATCCCCTCTGCCCAGCACCTAAGAGCAGGGATCACGCCGCGGGGTGATGAGCAGTGGTGCAGTCTCGCCTGGCCTTCTGTTACTAGGCTGAAATAGAGAGGAAACAAGAGAGAACAAAATGGGTTTTTAAAAAACAAGTACAAATAGAGAGGTCTGGCATGCATGCCCCAGCAACCAAATGCACTGAACACTGGATATTTCTCTGCCAGATGAAAGCTCTCAGGCCTGCTGAGGTTAAAGCTCTGGAATTAAATGAAGCAAAAATATAATCCTAACCATACTGAGAAGGGCATATATATTCTGCGATCTTCTAGTTCTAACTGGCAGCCCAAATATCACATGCACATGTGTGTGCCTGTGTGCACAAATTAATCTATGAGATGGATGACAAATATTTGGGCAAGGACCATGCACATTCAATTAGCAAACATTCAGGGACCTTAACTTGAGGTCAAGTGCCTCCAACTATCCCTAGTCAAAGAGGAGTTGATTCTGACATTCGCCCAGAGAAGGATTTCAGACTCCTGCAGGTATAGCCGATAGTTCTGGTTTATTCCTCTTTCTTGTCCATTCCTGGGAATCATGTGCTTCCCAGGAACACACAAAGCCACGCTGAGTTTCCATTAAGAGTGGGCAGAGTTAGTTTAGAGCCAGGGAAACAAGGCAGAACAGAGGTAGCACTCACTTGGACCAGGCAAAGAGGGAAGCAAGATGGCCACACACCAGTTGCCATGTGGGCAGAAGATAAAACCCCAGGTAGTTCCACAGACAGCAGGAGAGCTCAGGTCAGATGGGGACTGGGCACTTTAGAATCCATTGCATGGAGTCAGCAGCAGATTATGCTGAGGCAGGAGGCATTATTTACTGGATCTGTCACTGACTTTCTAATGGTTTTTCCAGAGGCCGCTTTTTTGTGGTCCTTCACAGCAGTCTGTTACTTCATCTGTTTGCCACAAATCAAGCCAGAGACCAAAAGGTACAGCATGGAACCTAAGAAATGCTCAATGGTTGGGGGGTGGGGGGGAGCTAAGGCTATAAATACAAGCTGGTTATCTTCACAAGTGGTCTTATTTTGGGGTCATCTTTTCTTGGTGAGTCTATGGCTTCTGCCATCATAAAATAAGGGGTGAAGGATTGGATCTGAGAGAGGGTGTGGGTTTAAAAGGGACACATTTGAGATTCACATCCAAGAGAGAGACTAGGTTTGAATAAATTCTGATTAAAATAAATCTAAGACTAGATCACCCCCAAAATACTGTTTTGTTTATGCTTATAAATAAAAGTGAACATTAAAAATAAAAGTGAACAAACCTACCCTGGTCTCTCTCTGGGGAAGTGGTTTTGGCTGCTCTCAGATGCTAAGCCTAGATGTTTAAAAGAAAATCTGACTCATAAGGAGGGACCTTTTCAGCTGGCTTAATCCTTTGGCAAAAATTCAGTTTTTAAACCCAGGTCCTGAATGATCCCTACTTTATAGCACCATGATGTAGATCATTAAAATATTCCAACTTGGCCTTGCTCTTTCTAGTGATACCCTCTCCCAGTAATTTCTGGAATTTCTAATGTAAGTGCCTTTTTTCTTCCATTTAGGGAGACAAAATTAATGATCTCTATCCACGCACTGACTCATGTGGCTTTTTACTATGGGCTAGAAAACAAGTGGAATTCTCTGCCAACAATGTGCCATTAGGAACTATGACCCTGTCTAACTTCATATGATTCTAGACTTCTCTTAATCAGCTGTTAGCATAGAATACATTTTAGGATGTTTTGTAATTGGGATGCCTGGCAGATACCTGGGTTTATTTAGGTCAAAAAATCAAATTAAGACTTTGTCTAGGCCTGGCGCCTATAGCTCAACTGGCTAAGGCGCCAGCCACGTACACCTAAGGTGGCGGGTTCGAATCCCCAGCCCGGAC